GCTGGTGCCGTCCGTAGTTGGCTTCTGTACCTGCTGCTGCTGCTGATGTTGTTGTTGCTGCTGCTGCTGCAGGTCCTGCTGCTCCTTTTGCAAGCAGCAGCGGCGGCTGATGGGAAGAAAGTAAGGTTGGATGTGGCTCTTGCAGCTGCTGTGTTCGCAATATACTTGGAGGCCTCGCCATGGCAGCAGCAACAGCAGCAGCCGCAGCAACAGCAGCAGCAGCAGCAGCAGCAGCGGGAGAAATGGGGGGCGGGGGAGTCTACAGGAAGAAGATTAGCAAATCCTAAGAGGGAAATATATTAAATTTCTTAAATGTTAATTAAAAATATATTTTCTGCTGCTGCTGCTGCTGCCGTTTGTTTGTGCCGCTGCTGCTGCTGCTATTGCTGTGTTCGGGTCGGTGGCGCAGCAGCGTTCCTGCTGCTCCCTAGCAACAACAACAACAGCAGCAGCAGCAGCAGCAGCAGCAGCAGCAGCAGTGAGTTTCTGCTGCACTAATTATATGTCAATTATTAAAATAATTTTGTCTTTTGTATTTTAATTAAAATAATTATTAACACAATAACAGCATATTGGGCAGCAGCAGCAGCAACCGCAGCAGCAGCAGCAACAGCAGCAGCTGCAGCTGTAGCAGGTGACCTCGCGAGCAGCAGCAACCACATATGCTGCTGTAAGTGGTTAGATGTACATTGTCATTGAACACAGCAGAAGCAACTGCTGCTGTTCCAGTTGCTGTTGCTGTTGCTGCTGTTGCTGCTTCTGCTGCTGCAGTTGCTAACACACCGAATAAGTCAGCTGCAGCACGGGTCGCCGAGCTGCAGCAGCAGCACAAAACAGCTCCAGGAATAACAACAACAGCAGCAACAGCCACAGGAGCATTGTTGGCAGCAAAGGCAGCCGTTAAGGCAATAGTGGGGACAGTGTAAAGACTAACTGCAGCAGCAGCAGCAGCAGCAGCAGCAGCAGCAGCAGCAACTGCAGCAGCAGCATCTGCAGCAGCTGCAACACACACAACATCTAGCAGCAGCAGCAGACTCAATTGTGAATGGATTGGCTGCTTTCGTTTATCCCCAAGTATGTGCGTCAGCAGCAAGAGCAGCAGCAGCAGCAACTGCAGCAGCAGCAGCAGCAACAGCCACAGAAACCGCAACAGCCACTCCAGGAACAGGAAGATGAGGACCAGCAGCAACAGCAGCAGCAACAAGAGCAGCAGCAGCAGAAGCAAGACCTTAGGCTCAATAGGGAGCTGCAGCAACGTCTGCAGGAGCGGCTAAAAGAGCAGCTGCACCTGCATCAGCAGCAGCAGCAAAAAGAGCAGCAGCAGCAGCAGCAACAGCAGCAGCAGGAGAGACAGCAACCATCTTTCTTTGTACGGCAAGCTCAACAGCATCGGAAGCAGCAACGGCAGCAGCAGCAGCAGCGGCAGCAGCAGCAAAACCATCTTGGCATTGGTTTCCTTACTGTTGGGTGTGCAGACCACTGGACAGACAGCAACAGCAGCAACAGCAGCAACAGCAGCAACAGCAGCTACAGCAGCAGCCGCAGCAATAGCAGCAACTATAGGAGGAGCAGCAACAGCAGCAGCAGCAGCAATAGGAGGCGCAGCAGCAGAGCTCCCTTCTCTGTATGGGGAGGTCCCCGTCCTTCCATAGGTGAATGTGACTGTGGTGCTGCGTGCACCAACAGCAGCAGCAGCAGCAGCAGCAGCAGCAGCAGCAGCAGCACAACCACCACCACCAACAACAACAACCCCACCAACAGCAACAGCAACAGCAGTACCACCAACAGCAGCAACACTACCAACCACAGCAGCAGCAGCAGCAGCAGCAGCAGCAGCAGCAGCAGCAGCAGCAGCATACCTCCATATACAATATATGCATCAATAAGTGTATATATTTGCTGCAGTAGTTGGGGAATAAGCAGCAAATATAATTTATATAAATATTTATTATATATACTTAATTGCATGCATAATTATTTTATTCATCCTTCTCTTGCTGCTGTTGCTGTTATGCATGCATTTACTCTTTGTGAATTAAGAAGAAAATATCTTATTACTGCTCAATCCAGCAACAGCAGCAGCAGCAGCAGCAGCAACAGCAGCAGCAGCAGCAGCAGCAACAGCAGCAGCAGCAGCAGCAGCAGCAACAGCAGCAAGAGGAGGAGGAAGAGGAGGAGGAGGAGGAGGAGGAAACAATGGCACCTGGCGATCTTTGTAGGAGTAGACTACTCATGTATAAGGAGGAATGGCTGCTGCTGCAGCAGCAGCTGGAGGAGCAGCAGAAGGAAGAAGAGCAGCAGCAGCAACAGCAGCAGCAGCAACAGCAGCAGCAGCAACAGCAGCAGCAGCAGTATAGAGACACGGATGCATCAATACCCTCCAGCCCTTACCCTCGTAACCTCCCCAGCAACAGCAGCAACAGCAACAGCAACAGCAGCAGCAGCAGCTGCAGCAAAAGACACACCACCACTACCCCCAACAGCAGCAGCAGCAGCAGGAGCAGCAGCAGCAGCAGCAGCAGGAGAATTCTTATAGATCCTGTATGGATGAATATAGAGGAAGAAATAATAATAATAATAATATTAATTAGTTTATTATTAAGTATAATTATATTAATAGATATAAATATTAATTCTTCTTTTTTTTTTTCTTCTTTTCTTCC